GATATTAATGATAATAATAATAATAATAATGATAATAATAATAATAAAATAATAATGATAGTGATAACAATAACAATATAGTAATAATGATAATGTTAATAATAATATAGTAAAAATAATAATGATAATAATAATGATACTACTACTACCAGACTACTACTGCTGATAATAATGATGATTATGATAACGATAATAACAACAAAAATGATAACAATAATGATAATAAAGATGATTATAATAACAGCAACAACAGCATAATACTGATAATAGTAATTGCAATATTAATGATAAGAATGTTGATAACAATAATAACGATAATGATAATCATATTGGTCGTAAAAATATTAGTAGTAATGATAATAACAATAATAATGATAATAGCAATGATAATGATTGCTAATAATGATGATAATGATAATAACGATAATGATAATGCTAATTATTATAATAAGGATAAGGGTAACAATAATGATAATGATAAAAAATGATAATGATAAAAGAAATAATAATAATGATAACAAAAAAAATAATAATACTAAAAAGAAGCAGAATGAATGATAATCATAATAATGCGACGATGATTCTAAAAAGAATGGAATTATCAAACAAACAAAGTTAAACAGAGAGAGACTAATAAAAGATAAAATAAAAAAGTTGAACGAAAAACAAAGAAACAAACAAATGAAACCTCTTTCTATGCTGTAAATTTTAAAGTCCTTGGTTTTATGTGTCAAAGTTTTATTTCTTCTTCTTCTTCCTCATCTTTGACATTTGATACAATAAAAGTCTATTTATATCTATCACGCAAATACCATTAAAGTCACTTGCAATGTCATTATATAATATAGCAACAATCGTATCGTATGTTATGTGTTCTTACCATTCATAAAATATGTTCTATCTGTTCAGGAATGGAGAACAATATTGTTATTGTTTTCCTTATATTTACTAGTTCTTATTGATGTTATTGATTATAGTTCTTATTGATTATAGTTCTTATTGATTATAGTTCTTATTGATTATAGTTCTTATTTACTAGTTCTTATTCTTACTTATATTCTTGCTGTTCATTCATAGGATTATTCATAGTTAAAATTTCATGTTATATTATATTTGCACAGAGGCGAAATTTCATTGATTTTCAACATAGTAAATTTTGTGGTATAGGAGTCTTATGTAATTTGATATTCATAAGTATGGTTACTATATTCGAATCGTTTTTTTAAGCAATTCATTATACTTTAAACGATATAAGATGCCTAAAGAGTTCTAGATTCAAATTAGATCTCCAAACTGAGCTAAGTCTTCTGCATTAAACATCAAAATTTAACTAAATTTAACTTAAACTTTTGGATCAAACTAAGTCGTCTACATTAAACTCCTAAATCTAATCAAATTCAACTTAGGCTTCTAAGTTCAACCTAGACTTCTAAACTCAACCTAAACTCAACTTCTAAACTCAACCTAAACTCAACTTCTAGACTCAACCTAAACTCGACTTATAGACCTCCAGACTCAAACTCAACTCAACTCCTTAACTCAACCTAGACTTCTAAACTCAGCCTAAACTCAACTTCTAAACTGAACCCCTAAACCCAACCCCTCCTTCTCTAAACTGCCCTCACACCCCATAATCAAAACTTGGTCGCAGCTCTAACCCCGGCCGCTCCTTGCACACAGGGGGAGATCTGGGCAAAATAAAAGAGACAGCATGTCACAGCAAAGAATATCCATTGTAACAACTGGAATTAAAACTAAATCTTTAAAATCTTTAAATCTTTGCCCCACACACTCTCACAAGCGCGCTTGCAGCGCCTTCCCTTCCTCCCTCCAGACGACCTCTCCGCGTCACCGGCAAAGTCCTCGGCAAAATCAACGGCGTGGAGCTCGTCGACGCCGACCTCCACTCCTACGTGCTGACCGCCGAGGGCCGGACGTACACGGCCATCTCCCGCGTGCCGTCGGCCATAGGCTACGACATCCAGAGTATGACAGCGCTGGGTGTTGGAGTGGCGTGGCTCTTCGCCAAGTCCGTAGGAGAGGCTCCCAATGGGTTCTCCGTCACAGGTGAGGGAGCGGAGCTGGGATGTGTAGACGGTGTAGGTGTTTGTGTGTATCTGTGTAAGGCTTATATGATCTGTATTTAAGTATGTGGTGTTGGTATAATGAGCATATACCTTATGATTTAAGCATATGGTGTTGGTATAATGAGCATATACCTTATGATATGCCTTTTACATATATCTGTGTAATGCTTATATTAATCTGTGTATTATATGATATGTCTTTTGCAATATGATATTGGTATAATTTGTATATATATATAATGATGTATTTAAATATACATTCATGTATCATGTGATATGTGATATGCATATACCTATATGATTTTATATGTCATACCTATTTGATCTGATATCATATGACTATATTAATTAATATGCTATCTATATGATAATGACACAGCATGGATATACGCTTATGTTTGTATATATAATATTTACAGAACATGCATATAGATGTAATATGTATAATACCTAAAGGATATTAATGTAATACACATGAGGAGTTCTTGGCAGGCTCGAAACGTCATGATTTAATTCCATTTCTTGTTAGTGCTGATTTCCTGTTCATCTTTGTGTACACGTGTCTTAATACACGCACACACACGCACACACACACACACCCGTACACACACACACACACACACACACACACAAACACAAACACACACACACACAGTCAGCAAACACACACACACACACACACACACACACACACACACACACACACACACACACACACACACACACACACAACACACACACACCACACACACACACACACACACACACACACACACACACACACACACACACACACACACACACACACACACACACACACACAATCAAGCAAACACACACACAGATTCATATGACAACCTCTTCTCCTCCTCTTGTTCCTCTGACTACCAAAATTTACCAACAGACACCTTTCCTTATTCTCTTATTATTCATCATTATTATTATTATTATTATTATTATTATTATTATTATTATTATTATTATTATTATTATTTCCTTATTCCCCTCTTTCAATCCCTTCCCTTCCCTCAGGTGCCAACTTCAACAGAACAACAGACGTGAACTTCCCACAGACAGGTCATCACGTGGTGGTCCAGCAACATTTCATGGTGAGTTGAAATAAGGCTGATATAAGATGATATGATATATAATGATATGATAATAACATGATATAAGATGATATATAGGCTGATATAAGATGATATGATATATAATGATATGATAATAACATGATATAAGATGATATATAGGCTGATATAAGATGATATGATATATAATGATACTTATGATGATAGCATGGATGATGATGGTAATTATTACTATACTGCTATTACTACTATGACTAAGATGATATTGATAATAACAATGATGATAATGATAATAGCATGGATGATGATGGTAATTATTACTATACTGCTGTTACTACTATGACAAAGTTGATGATGATAATAACAATGATAATGATAATAATAATAACGATGATGATAATGATATTCATTACCTTACGGTTGTTACTACTAAAACTAAGATGATGATAATTATAACAATGATAATGATGGTAATAATAATGATGATAATGATAACAATGTAAATAAAAACGATTATGATTATGATAATGATAATAATAGTAGCAATAGTAGAATTGATGGTATAATAAGTATAATAATAGTGACAATGAGAATGAGGATAATGATAGCAATAATTATACTGATAATGATATAAGTAGTAATAATGATGATTATGATAATTATGAAAATAACGGCAATGATAATGATAGCAACAATAAAAATAATGATAATTATAATAATAATGATAATAGTAGTATAGTATTTAGGATAATTATGATAAAAGATGATAAGCTGATAATGATGAAAATTAATAATAATAATAATAATGTTGATAATGATAATAATAATTAATATTATTGTCATAATGATAATGATAAAACTAATAGTTAAATGATAATGATAATAATGATAAAGATGATGATATAATAATATAATAATAACAATGATAATAATAATGATAATAATAATATAATAATAATAATATAATAATAATAATAATAATAATAATAATAATATAATAATGATAATATTAATGATAATGATGATGATAATAATGATGATGATAGTAATATTCATAATGTAATAGTAACAATAATGATGATGATAATATTTCTGGCAATAGTAATAAAAAACTATAATAATAGTTATAGTAATAATGAGAATGATGATAGTGATACTCAAAGTAATAATGAAAGAAATAATGATTGTAATGATAATACAATGTTGATGATAATAAAAACTGCAATAATGAAAATGATAACAGTAATGATGATAATGATGATTATAATAGTAATAATAATAATAATGATAATGATAGTAATAATAGTGATAATAATGATAATAATAATATAATATATAATGAAACAATACAAATAACGATAACAATAATAACAGTAATAATGATAATCATAATTATAATGATAATAATAACAGTAATAATGATAATATAATTGATGATGGTAACATAGTGATGATGATAATGATAATGTTGATGATGGTAACAATAGTGATGATAATATAGGAAATGATAATAATAATAATGACAACGATAATGATGAGAGAGAGAGAGAGAGAAGAGAGAGAGAGAGAGAGAGAGAGAGAGAGAGAGAGAGAGAGAGAGAGAGAGAGAGAGAGAGAGAAAGAGAAAGAGAAAGAAAGAAAGAAAGAGATACACACTATATCACTTCATCACCATCATCATTATTACTTTCACCATTACCATCACCATTACCATTATCATCACCATCATAACAAAGCATCACCCCTTTACCCCGAATCACAAATGACCTCTCATGACCTCTGACCCTCCCCACTTTCCTCCCACAGGGGTTAGATGTCTTCAACA